CATCATGACCATCATGGGGTTGTAGGGCAGCGGGATGCCGGGGGGGTAGGGCATGTGTGGGGGTGGGGCACGGGAGTGTGACCGCTGGCTGGTGTGGCTGTGCTCACTGGGCGTGGCCAAGCCGTGGTCACGCCTCAGGCTGCTGCGGGTGGAGTACTCAGATTCGCTGCCGCTGCCCGAGCATGAGTCGGCCCCGCCCCCAACTGGTGACTTATCCTCCCGTACGCTGCCCGGGGTGCTGCCCCCTGCACTCTTGCCTCCCAGACGCCTCTCGCCCTCGCTGCGCGTTGAGCCGCTGCTTCGACTCCCTGGCAGAAAGAGATGGACAAATGTGAGCCGGCAAACAAGACGAATGAAAGTGGCTAAATGAAACAGAACCAAAACGAAAGCAGCTAAACAAAACTGAACCAAAAATCCAGCTAAACAAAACAAACAAAAATCCAGCTAAACAAAACAGAAACAAAAATCCAGCTAAACAAAACAGAAACAAATGAAAGAGCCAGACTGAAGCAGTTAAATGAATATCTAAATAAAAGGAAAAGGGAAATGCAGATTGGCACACCTTCGCTGTGCTGGCTGCCAGTGCTTCCAGGGGCGTAGCTGTAGCTGGAGAGCTCGTGGTAGGGCGGCGGCTGGCTGGAGTAGGGGTGGGGGTACTGGTAGGGGAAGGAGTGAAGCAGGGGCCACGGTGTGGCCCCCGGGAGGGGCAGGGGGGCCAGTGTGTCCTGGTCAGATGCCCCACTGGAGCCATCGTTGTCGTTCAGGGAGAGGTTTGCCATGTCTGTGAGGGAGTGGCAGAGACAAAGATGGAGACAGAGACCCTTTTAAAGACCCAGAGTTTCCTAAGCTAGTCAAGGTCAAACATTTTACAGAAACCGTTGAGTCAGGGGATTTTTCCTGGGTTCTCCTGAAATCAACTTACAGCTGAATTATTCCATAATAAGCAGCATCTAAATGTGAAACAAGCTCTGTTGAATTACCCTGTATGAACATCCACGGAACATTCCCAGGGTGATGTCATCACTTACAGTTCTCGCAGTCGCTGAAGTCCCCAAAGATGTAGTAGCACTGTTCAGAGAAGGTAATCTTGTTGACGGTGTGCCTGATGAATCCGGCCTTCAGCAGGTTGCTGGCGTACTTGCGTGCCTCACGCCGGTCCTGGAAGCCCTCGATGTGGTGGTACAGCCAGTCTACCACATCTGAGCCTGCAGGTGGACAGACCCCCCCGTTTTAATCTCACCCCTGGCCATCCACCCTGGGCGGCCTGTCTCCTCCCCACCCCCGGCTGTACCCTCACCCAGGAAGGCATTAGGGATGGTGATCTTTAGCCACATGCGGTCTCGGACCTCCAAGCCCGACTCTGGGGATGCCATAGCCTTGGCCACAGACGCCATGTCTGAGTGCAGAGACAGGCTGAACTCATCAAAACCTGGAGATGCAAAGAGGGTCACTGAATTACTAAACAGACAGACAGAGATGGACTGATGGATGTGTCAGATGGTCAGTGAAACATGCATGTTCTGATGCAGGCCGGTGTAATACTCACGCTCGGTCTCCGCCACAGAGGAACTGGAGGTGATGGTGCTGAGTGAGGAGCTGCCAGGATACGGCTGGTACACCCCAGTCAGGGCCACCGAGTGGCTCACCCACACCGCGGGGTCAATAGGCCGGATTGGCTCATCTGGAAGAGGAGCGGCGACATCATCGGTACCATTCCCATAATGCATTTCACCATCTGGTTTACCGAAAGCACTACATGTTCACCTGTAAGCTCAGGGCCCAAATTCCCAAAATGCAAGGCTGCCCACTGCAAAGCAACTTCAACCCTGGACCTGGAGAATGTGTGGTGTGGTCTACACCAGTGTGTGTGTGTGTTGGGGGGAGGTGGTGGTACTCACTGCGTGGGAGTGTGAAGTAGCCTTGAGGTGTGGGGTCCCAACACTTGGCCACTGTGAGGATGATGGGCCTGGTGGAGAGGGGACAGTCCATCACTGGGGACATCACAGATAACTACTCTCTCATCACCCTGGAGAAAGACCCCCCTCTCCTACCCTCAGGCCGACAGGGGGGCCGGACTTACCCCGGCTTGTGGACGATCTCCCGCAGCACCCTGACCGCGTCGTCGTTGCTCATGTTTTCGAAGTTGATGTCGTTGACCTGGGGAGCGCAGCATGTTGCGTGAGGACAAGACAGACAGTGGTCCGGCATAGTGAACAGCAGAGCGTTACCGTGGCGATGCCCCTCACCTGCAGCAGCATGTCCCCCGGGTCGATGCGGCCATCCGCCCCCACTGCCCCGCCCTTCATGATGGAGCCGATGTAGATGCCCCCGTCGCCCCTCTCATTGCTCTGGCCCACAATGCTGATGCCCAGGAAGTTGTACTTCTCTGCTCGACAGCAGAGGGGCGCCATAGCCAATCAATAACTAATCTTATTACTTCACATAATAAACCAAAAAAGGAGCACTGATGAACACCACAATTTCTCAGGCAATAAACAAACATCACACAGTGGGAGTTATGAACAGATAAACGACACCAGAGAGGGAAGCGAGAAAGAGGATGATGATGATGGAGCGAGCTGACCACACGCACCCATGTTCAGTGTCACTGTGATGATGTTGAGGGACATGGTGGAGTCCGTGACACTACTGAAGGATGACGCCTGAAACACCAGAGAAAACGGTCATCTTCCAAAGCAGCTCCCACCCAAGGCGTAGCACACCTACTGGAGGGAGGTCCAACGTGCAGGCATTAAAGCGCTCTCTCCTCCGCAATACTGACTCAGACGATTCCCCACACATCAGCGCTGTGCCATAGATTTTGTATCTGGCAACCTGGACAGTTTAGTGGCCACTGTGGGGCCGTATGGAGAGCTGTGCACCTGTGTCTCAGACCGTGTGTGTGTAATCAGATTCGAAAAACATGTAAAAGAATCTCTAAATGCATACTGAGATTTGTAAATGCGTACAATAGTCTGTTAATATGTATTCAGAATCCACTGTACATGCGTAGACAAATTTGCAAATGGATAAAAAGTCTAAAGTATTTTACTTCCATCGCTGTAAAGACAGAAAAGTCATCAGTTACAATTCAGGTGGAATTCTCAATTGGCTGTCTTTTTACATGTGACTTTTGCTGCACTTCTGCCCTGAGAGATCTGCAAATGCGTGTGGAGATGTATCGATGAAGTTTTTGAGGGCTTAGGGCTGTCCCACTCGCAAGCTTTTGAGGACTTGGGTAAGGAACACTGTCAGGGTATAAACTGAGACAGAATATGTTTGAACACTGCATTTCCCCCCCTCTTTATCTCTCTATGGTAGTTTTACCCTTTAGACATGGCATAAAAATACGCATTAAAAAAAACCCAGGTAGACTTGCATTTTTATACCATTTCAACACAGTACAAAGGTACCTGTTAAATAAGGTCTTTCAGCACTGATATCTACGCTAATAATTCCTATTCAAGGGCAAACGGTTCAATCTGTAATGCATTATATTGGTTGTCGTATGATATTATTTCGGTTTTTAATCATAACCACTGAAACTCAAAATTTACGAATAATTTCAAATTTAGAGATTATTTCACACATTTACAAATCTGATTACTCACACATAGATTGAGATACAGGTACACAACTCTCCACACAGATTTGAAAATAATTTTGCTACAATAGCAGCCCCATAAACCACCCCCTTCCCATGACCACATTCACCCTCCCCTCTTCCCTAGGTGCAATACCCGCTCCAGCCTTGAGGGGCGCTGTTTCTTCCGCCTGCGATGCCTCTTCAGCAGGCGGGATGCCGTGCTCTGCTCTGTAGCACTGCTAAACCTGTGTTGAGGGGACGGAGCACAAAGTTTCACACCGTCGGTTCTGGATGACGATAATGACAAAGACCTCAGGAAAAATACACAGGAAGTTGATGCTTCTCTAGCACACCGACCTGCTCATGGCATCGTCCTCCTCAGAATCGCAGAAGCTAGTGGTGTCTAGTTCGCTGCTCATTAGCGTGCTGGAACTCTCATAGCCCGCTAGGTGGCGCTCTAGGCGGCTCTGCCCGTTCACGCGCTGCCCTGGTGGCAAAGGCAGACCGGTCAGCGGTGTCAAGCATGTGAGCGCTGACGCTCTAACGAACCGAGCGGTCGGCGGCGGCTCACCGTGCTGCTCCTCGCTCTCCCGCCGCCGCGGCCGCTCCCTCCGGAACGACACCACCGACTCCGTCTCTGTACGCTCATCCAGGTTCTCCATGCTGTCCGTGGCATTAGGGCTGCACAGAGGATGGCACATGGGGCTCAACGCCCATTTTGGTAGCAAAATTTGACATCTAAATTTGGTTGCCATGGCGACTATTATTTCTCCACAGAAGAGTCAATGTGACCATTACTGTCACCTACACTACCAGTCCTTTATAACATGGAAGGAGTATGTAACAGTGTATGTCTGACACCCTATTAACTGGTTGTGTGGTGAAGGCAGAGTCAGATTCTAGGCTGTCCTTTAACTTTAAATACACTAATTACCCATTTCATCCCATGAAACAGAGCAATATTTAATGTCCCTTGTAGAAAGAATGCCTCGAATTTTCTCTGCTTTCATAACTGCTGGAGGTGGTTACTTTGATGAATCAAAGATACGGCATTTTCTTCCTAATAAAGGTACCTGAATGGTGAATATACTCTAAGTTTGTTAGCAAAGAATATCAGGTGTATCTTTAGTCAATGTTAAGTAACATGCAAATGTAGAAAATCTCAGTGTGTGTAAAAACCTTAAACTAGCAGTGTACATAGAAGTGGGGAATGGATCAAAGAAGCTGGCAAACACTGCAAATGGACTCAGTGAGGCGAATGGAGCCCCCAGGACGGAGGGTGTCATGGTGACAATCCAGATGGTCACATGATGGATTCCCAGGAAGAGAAAGAGACTTACTGGAAGGAGGGGGGGCGGGAATCCCCAATGCCCCCGGTCCTCTCTGCAGGTGGGGGGGGCAGAGGCGGCGGCGGGGGCGATGGCTCAGGTCGCACCTCTGCTGGGGGGGCACCCGCCTCCACAAGAGGGCCTTCGGAGGAGACCAGCTAACAGGAGAAGGTGAAGTGTGAAGGGTGGGATAGAGAACTGGAACATCGTGTGTGGGGGGGGGGTTCCAACTAATGATCTACAACACCCGTAACGACACACATCTAACTTTC